AAGCCGCAACCCCCCCCCCCGCTCAAAAACAAACAGGGCCGTTAGCAGAAATTTGCCGCGGAGGACTGGGCATGCGGAGGGAGCCCGCCGAGCAGGGGAGGCGGTTGAGGCGTGCCGACGCCTCGGGGTTGAGGTGCGGGAGGAACGCCCGTGGTTCTCTGCTGTTTTTTTTTGTGTGCGTGGGGACCATGCATGTTCCGTGTATTTCGCGGGATGAGACAAGCCGGAGTGTTGTTGAACCAGTTCTTCGTGCGATGTCAAGAGCCGTATCACCCCATGGGTTGGAACCGAAACTCCACCAATCACGTTACTCTTGAGTGTCGGGTTTTGCCGCCAAAGTCGCAAGGCATCCTCTACTACTTGTTTTGTCGGACATGTTTCAGGCTTTGTTCGCCATTTTGCGTCAAAATCTCCCGACCTTTCTCGCCCAATTCTCATGCCTCCTCGTCGGTTTATGCCAAACGGGTTGTTGCCCAGGCCAAAGGCTGTGGGGAGGGGGGATGGCATGAAGAACTCGATGACCTCTCCTCTACTTCTCACCCGGCCCGACACGACACGATTACGCCCCAGCTTCTTCGTCCCTGTTGGTGTCTAGCTGCCTCTTTGCGCTCCTTCCCTTCCTGACCCTGCTTTTCCTCCGTCCCCTCCCTGTGCATTGTTCCATTGATGTTGTTGCTGTTCGTTGTTTCGTGGTTTGCTAGTTCGTGACCCTGTACGCGTTTTCGACGGAGAACTGGAGGCGGCCGGCGGGGGAAGTTTCATTCCTCATGGATGTGAGGGTGCATATGTTCACTGGCTACATATATTATACGGCGCCGGTCTTGATAGTTACCGACACTTCACAGGAGTTCGAGTAAGCCTTTCTCGCCGGCCCTCCCCCCCGCTCTCCCTCGGGAATGAGAGTTTCGAGAATAGGTCGGGTTGGCTAGGCCTCGTGAGCAACCGAGGTCGTGATGGGGGCGTGGATAACCACCCTCCCGTCACCGACTCTCAATAGGTTTGTGGGAAGCATTCCTGTGTGGGACTTGACACAGCTAATCCGTTTCTACTTCTTTCTTCACCCAAAACATCGAGATCTTGGCTCACCCCCCATCATCATTCAAGTATGCCTGCTCGACACTTGACACAATCGATCCGTCTCCACTGATATCTTCACCCACAACGTGGCGATCTTGACCCCTACCTCCTCCATATATGCCGTATCCATCATGATTCATTTCGACGGCCGCAGCTGATGGAGGAGACTCTGTTGGAGCAGCGTGACAGCCTTCGCCGGAATGGGATCCGGCTCACAGTCATCGGAGAGCTCGACCGCCTGCCGGCGCGGCTCCGCTCCCTCCTCCTAGAGATTCAGGAGGACAGCAACAGCAGCAGCAGCAGCAGTAGCGCAGCAGTAGATGGGGGTGGCGCTGCTTGTAGCGCCCCAGGCGTCCCGCCCTCGGTGGCGATTCCGGTGGCAGCGGAGGCCGCAGGAAGAGATGCCGGTGCTAGTAGTAGTAGCAGCCGAAATAGCGGCGGCGGTGACATCGCACCACCGCTGCCAAAACAACCCGTCGCCGCGG